TATATATATATATATGTGTGTGAGTGTGTGTGTGTGTGTGTGTGTGTGTGTGTGTGTGTGGGACATCTGTTTCCATAAATCCCTCCATAATAACCAGTAAAATACATGTAATTCATAATGCAAATTAATATTGTATTCAGTGAGGTGCCACTTTACCTCCTGCAGCCATTGCACTGCTTTATGACACCTGACAGCGTTTCATCATTTGCATAATCGTCCACTGCACTGGTTCATATCCAATGCACGGCTCAGATACTGGTTGCTTAACAACGCTGCCTCCAATAACAGGGGCGTTTGGTTTGAAGCTACCGGAGGAATAGACTTTAAAAAAACACAATCAGCAGCAGCAGCAGCAGACTGAGTCTACCTTACTGTCCGGACATCTCTGCTGGACTGCGTTCACATCATAAACAGGTGAGGTTGTCGGTTTGTTTTTGCTTGTTTTGCTGCCGACAAGGTGATGACTGAACTCGGGCACTTTCTGGTGTTGTTAAATGAACGAGTGTTTCGCCAACATCGCCGAACTTGGCAACTATCGGATCGAGTTGACCCTGTTTCACACCGCACCCGTGAGTTATCTTTAACTTAGCATGAAGCTACACCCAGGTCAGCAAAACAGCGCGAAATAACGTCTCAAAACGCGTCGACATCAGTAAGCATGTGTTCAGATTAAAGTCGTAACGTTAGTTCATCAAATTAATCTTACAAAACGGGATTATCGTGCTATATTAACGTTACAAACCTGGAGTGTACGTTACCTTAAGCTAACGTGAGCTGACCTGTAACGCAGCTACGTTAACAGCAACTCTTAATGTATGACATCTTTTAAATTATATTATATAAGGTAAAGCTACTAAATATAGCTGAAGCACACTTGGCTTTATCTCCCCCTCAGCCTGTGTAACTTCAGATAAAAGTTGCGTGTGTGTGTGTGTGTGTGTGTGTGTTTGTTAGATAATAACACTGGAGAGAGTTTGCTGGCATGTGCATTGACATGGCAGGAAAGCAGGCACTCCTGTTGACTGGTAGTTATGTCCTCACCAAGTTTTCACTGTTGCATTACTGAACATGACTGCAACGTTTTCCCCTTTTGTTCATCAACACAATGTGCATGACAATCCCCCCCCCCTTGAACACAAGTTGGGACATTTCAGTACATTGTATAGCTGTGGGAGTGGCAGGAGACGATATCTGGTTCAGCTTGTTTCACCAGAGCATGTCAAGATAATAATATTGTCCTGAAGGCAGAGAAGTCAAAAATACACATCCTCTCTCTCAGATTTAGCCTCTCTGAAATGGGTCTCATTATTTTTTTTTTTTTTTTTTTATCTGTGTAAATCTTTTGGTTTCAGGCTGAGATCATCTTACTACCCTGCGATTTAGTTGCCAGTGGCCAATCGGAGAGCCCTCTTAAACCCCAATCTACCTAACCCCCGGTGACCGTTAATCCTGTGTGGGTAAAGCAGCCGCCCAGATTATCCATTGCTGCTGTATGTCATTGCTTGATGCTCCGTTGCAGGGCTCAGTTCCAGTGGGAGGCTCTGATCCACCGCCTGACTGTTAATCCACCTCCCCGGTTGATAACTCCTGACCCCGTGTCCTCGTGTCCTGATGTGTCGGTGAAATGGGAGAGTGGTGGACAACTGTGCCAATAGGGACATCCATGGGTAAATCTCTCTAATAGGGTTTATTAGGTAGAATATTTCAAGAATAGAAAGGGTAATCAGCTAGGCTTTTTTTGGTATCTCTTCGAGGTGACCCATATTTTTGTTCTCATTTTAGAGCAGCGACCTAATTCAAGCTTCTCAGTTTGATAAAGTATAGGAGCTGTTAATACCTACAATTGCTGTAACTTCTATCTTTCTTTTTTTTCTGTTTTTAGGAAACTATGACATCTCCAGCATATCACATGTGACAATGTCCCCCTTGAGACAGAACAACCTTGTGTCAATGTACTCCTCTTTGCCCCTGTCCAAAAGCTCCTACAATGTGATAAGTGCCTTTTGCACAGAGGATAATATACCTCAGTGCATTTCATACATGAATCAGGTAAGGAAATGACCTGGTTTAGTTATTGTGTTTCATGAAAATAAAATTCTATCAATCCAGTTGCTGTTTTATTTGCACTTGACATTTTTCATTTAGTACAACATTGACATATGCCCTCTTTCTTTCACAGGAGCTCTCCTCACTGGGCCTCTCTTCCACATGTATCGAGGCCAGCTCACCGGGGGGAGCCGGCCTGAGCACAGTGCCAGCTCTGAATGCCATGTACGAGCTGCTCCAGATTCATCGACGCAATATGTGCACGTTAGAGGAGCTCGAGAAAGAACAGCTGAAGAAGTCCAGCTCCATGGAACACATGCAGATGAACAATTCCAGACTCAAGGCATGTATGATCTGTGTCTGTAAGGTGCAGCAGTAGATTGGCAACCACTAGAGGGCAGAAAAGAAAAGAAGAGTGCTGTATACAACTATTTCTATACCAAGAGACGATGTGACTACTGTACTACAGAAACCAAACGGGGACAAACCTTACAAAGTATGGTGCCCGTTAGTCTGCAGTTGTCTCTGCTTGTTAGACTAAACAAACCTGTGCTATCTAAACCTACCAATGAAGAAGCCCATTCTATTTGAATCACAATAATAAGTGTAGAGGTAGGAGAGGTCGATATTGTGAGGTTGTGTTTACAGTCTGTCTTTATTAAATCCTCAGATAGCACATACCAATTTTAGAATGGGATTTTGCTCAGGAATCCACTCTTGTTGCAAAACATTGCCATCTCACTGTGCTCATAATAAGATACGTGTGTTTCCTTGCAGGATCAGTTGGAACTGTCCATAAGGGAAAAATCGGGTCTACATGAGACTGAGAGGCAGCTGCAACTCAAAATTAAGACTTTGCAGAGCTGCTTGAAAACAGAAAAAGAGGAGGTATCATTTTGATTTTATCTTTTTATGAGCGACACTCATGTTTTCGATTTTCTACAACTACATATAGTGTGCGTGAGCCTGCAAAGTCATTATTCAATCATCGTGGACAGGTTCAGAAGCTCCAGAGCATCATTTCCAGCCGTGCCTCTCAGTACAGTCATGATGCAAAGAGAAAAGAGAGAGAAACTGCAAAGCTCAAGGAGCGCCTTGGCCAGCTACTGGTAGATAGAAAGGATAAGAAACTAGGTAAATATGCAAGTCTTCAGAAAAAAATCATATACATACATACTCATTATTCTGGGAGCTTTAGAACAAAATAATTACACTTTTTGCCTTCTATTTCTCCCAACTAGCAATTGATGTGCTGAATTGCTTGGGGAGGTCAGATGGAAAAAGGGGCCACTGGAAGACTGCAAAAGCGACAGCCAGGTGTGAAAGCTATCTCGTCACTTGCTGACCGTATTAATAGACCGTGCAATCATCAGTCCGATAACTGTATTCGTAAATTGCTCTCTGCAGCCACGAGGGTGAGATGTACAAGTCCTTGCTCAGTGACTATGAGGCGAGTCAGAGGGCCTTGATGCTGGAGAACGCTGAGCTTAAGAAAGTCCTCCAGCAGATGAAGAAGGAGATGATGCACATCCTGAGTCCACGCCAGCTTTCTAGCAGAGGAGCCACCGCTGATGACAGTCAGGACCAGGTATTTTCTCATGGTACTAATGCACGTTAAAGAAACTTGGTAAATGGGTTGAGATGTTTTTGTTGTTTCTTTGTTGTTTTTAGACCTCGGAGTCTTCATTAAAGATGAGCAGAAACAAGCAGTTTATGCATTAAAATGTGAGCATGTTGAAAAGAGATGCTTAAAAAAGTTCTCCTGTTTGTTTCTGCTGTTTTTTGCTCAGGCTGATTCCGATGGGGAGGAGAAGGCAGGCGACTCCAGCAGGGAAACTCTGGACCAATCCTGTGAGCATGCCAGGGAGCAACTCACCAACAGCATCCGCCAGCAGTGGAGGAAACTGAGGAACCACATGGAGAAATTGGACAGTCAGGGTACATGCAACACTGTAACATACATAAAAAAAGATGTGTAGCTGCTCCTTGAAGCATTTACAGACTTGCGGTATGCGTGAAAGGAACTTGAGGTAATCCACTGTTGATATATTTGTTTGCTAAGCCTCACAAGTGCAGAATCAGCTGGAAACCACCAAGGAGGTGATACTAAGGGAGACTCACGAGGATGAGATGGAGCGGATGAGGCGTGAAGTGCAGCAGTGCAAAGAGTTCATTCACGCACAGCAGCAACTCCTTCAGGTCAGTTTCTGCTTGTAATAGCAGAGATACCAGTATATGCTGGTTAAACATTTGTTAGCAATTTTATATCAATACAAGAGGTTTGTGCATATTAATGAATGAAATCGCTTTTCAGATAAATGAGCGCTTATCTTTTGTACATTATTGAATGTCATTTGGAAATTCTCTATGGTCTAAAATGATAAGTGTCTGTTTCTGCCTATGCAGCAACAACTCAACACATCATTTGATGATGAGACAGCAGCTCTTCTTAATGACTGCTACACACTGGAGGAGAAGGAGCGTCTCAAAGAGGAATGGAGGCTCTTTGAGGAGCAGAAGAGAAACTTTGAGAGGGAGAGAAAGAACTTCACAGAGGCTGCTATTCGCCTGGGGCGAGAGGTACTAAAGCCCCCAGATGTGGTGCCACAGTTTTATGGGTGTTGTAATTGCACTGCATTCCTCTTGATCTTCTTGTATTCCACAGAAAAAGGCCTTTCAGGAGGACCGTGCTTCTTGGCTGAAGAATCAATTTTTGAACATGACTCCCTTTACAGACCGTAGGAGATGTTCCTCGTCAGATGGTCAAAGTGCCTTATCAATCAGTAAGTTTGTTTTTAAATTTAAGAAACTATGCCTCTAAATGGTTAAATGTCTTCCTCAAAAACAGGACTTTTCACTTGTAACCGGTAGTGAGCATAACTTAAATGATGAGAATGCACTTCAGAGCAGTGGTTCCCAACCTTTTTCCAAAAGACCCCTTTTTCTATCATTTAGTAAACTGAAGACCCCTATAATGATATTTCTTATGGATATTTCATATACTGTACAACGAACATGATAACTGCATATAAGTATATGTAAAATGAGATTATTTACCTTTCTACAGTTCTGTCTATTTTTTATTTATTTTTTTATTTTTTTATGAATGCTGCATGTAAAAAAACAGTTACTGTACAAGAAAGTATTTTTCATTTACCTTGATTTGAATATCCCCCGCATTTCAGGAAGTGAGCCAGAGATGAGGATATCTTCCACAAACGCTCAGCTGGCTAAATCGTCAACCTACGCTACGTTCTCCACTCCTAAACCTACACAAAGTGCTGCTGTGCCATCCACAACTGAACTGTACCGCACACTCCGACTCATACCAGACGGCAGGTACTATTCAGTCACTTACTATCGTCTGTATTCAGCAGAATTTGGATTTGTTAAGTAGGCATATTTGCAGTGCTGGGATTTAATTGGTGCTATTTTACTAATGTTTTGTTACATGTATGTGTAGGTGCAAGGATCAGACCCTGGTAGTGTTGGTGCCATGTCATACCGATTTAATCCTCTTTTATTTACTTTTTTTCCCCTCTCATTTTAGTTCCTCCAGACATTCAAATCGAGGATGCTGGCAAGAGTCCAGCACCATTGAAGATGCAGATACACGCTTCAAGTCAAGAAGCAGAGTTCGTTGTGGAGACTTGAGTATCTTCTCTTTGGGTGAAGACGAGAACAGCCTCACTTGAAGAACTTCCAGTGCCTTATTTGTGTGATTATTTGCTGTGGACTTTATCATCCATTCGTGGCTGCATTACATCACAACTGATACACACTACTACACTTCTTATGTTGCTTTAAGGATCATTCACCAAAGCTGATCAAAGATAAAAGCACTTTAATGATTCTGCCATTGTTCATTTCTTTTCTGTACAATCAACACTGACAAATCAGATTGTAAGCTATATTCAAGGGAAGGTATCTACCAAGTATTGATTTGGACATATTGGAGTTGGAGAAATCTTTTTTTTATATATATATATTAAACGCTTAAGTTTGAGTTAAAACTTGTTCATGTTTACATATTTTAAATGTATAAATTATGAGGTATGATTTTAACAGAAGCATATTGACATTAGATTAATAATGATCGACTCTGCTGGTGTAAACAGCACAATAAAGACATTTTTAATTTTAAAAAAGGTTTTATATTCTGTCTTTTAATTAATGGCGCCCACTGGTGTGTTTAAATGGGAGCTGCAGTCAGAAGTGTGAACAACCGGAATCCGGATGTCATCATCTTTGCTTTTGTCTCAGCATCCAGCCCACAATCCCACCCCTTAACTCCGCGTCTATTTCTTTTCAGACAAAAAAAAAAAAAAAACACGCACACACACACATCGAGAATGTCGGGCTCCTCTAATCTTGTGGCCATGAAAAAAGTCGTACAGCAGCTCCGTTTCGAGGCGAGCCTAAACAGAGTGAAGGTAAAGTGATTTGCTTTTCTGTGGGTGTTTTTTTTTTGTTGCTCGGAGAAGTGAGGGGGAGGGAGAGGAAATCTCACCCCGCTAACAACGCTAGCTGCTGCCAGGAGCTAGCAGCGTTAGCCGCGAGTCAACAGGCGATAGCAGGGCGTTGCTTTGGTCGAAGGGGAAGTGTATTAAAACAGCGGATTTAAGTCCGATAAACTCTTTAAATTGAGCTCTAAAGAATATCTGAGAAAGGAAAGTTAATGTCGAGACCTTTTTTCTTTTTCTTTTTTGGCTAACAGCAGCTAGCGTCTAACCTAAAGACTCGGGTTGTAACCTAACTTAACCTAAAAGTATAAGTGGACCTACTTGAAGTCAAAGGCTTTATGTGCTCAATACAGATGATGCTTGAACTGCTAACATTTATTTACTTTGATTTCTTATTTTAGTTTCCACACTTGGGAGAATTCATTGACTATATGAAATGAATTAATAATGTGGATGTAACCTACTCAAGAAAAATCCAGAGGGAGTTCAGCAGCACTTTGTGTAATACACTGCATTTGAGAATTACCATTATATAAACATACAATGTATTATATCCCCTCAGGGTTTGGGTTCCTTGTAAATGAAGCTAGCTATTTAGTAATTCCCATAAAATTGGGGGGGATTTAAGGGTTTAATAGAAGATTAGTCCGAATGGAAGCAGCAGAGGCCAATATCCTGACTTTTAATCTCTAGTGTGGGTCAAGCTTAAAAAATACTGGATTTTTCAATTCCACTAATGTAGTTCAGTACAGTCTTTCCTGGTCTTCTCATGGTTATATTTCCATACTTTTTACAATCTCCCTCCAGAGTCACAGGAGACATTAGACAGCAGTGTTTCTCCCTGGCTGAGTAGTACTAGTGATGAGTAAACTGTGGAAAACTGGAGTGACCTTGTCTTGTTTTTACATTTTGGTTCCTCTTTTGTCCCCCTCAGGTCTCCCAGGCAGCGGCGGACCTTCAGCTGTTTTGCATGCAGAATGCCTTGCAGGACCCTCTGCTCACCGGTGTGTCCTCCAGCACCAACCCTTTCAGGCCGCAGAAAGTCTGCTCCTTCTTGTGAAACCACTGTACTAATTGGTCAGTCCGCTTCCCCTCCGTTGACACACTCATACATACAGCACCAGCAATTGGTGTCGTTTCTCAAAAAGCTTTATTCAGAGGTCTGAATAGTAGCTGAAGTACTGGTTAGAATTTCTGTAGTGCATTTTTATTTATTACGTAAAAGAAAATTCTGTATCTCCTTAAAATGTTGTGTTTTCAGTAAAATGATGGTCATTCGCTTTAATAAAAAAAACCTTTTAATTTGAAAGGTGGTCATTAAATGTTGGTAGTTTCCTGTGTTAACCTTACACAGTGGGGAAATCTAAACATCCATAGAAACTTCTCGGACCTCTCCAGCAAAATGTACTTCTCTGCTATCTACGTAATATACTAATAATATCTAATATTTTCTACCATTAATGGATTATTCAAATGTGTTCCGTAATAATTGAGCACAGTTTTAAAATAATGAGGCGTAGGTGTTTTTATCGTCTACACATTTTTACGCTTTGCTCTGTATATTGTTGAGAAGTCACATGTAACTGTACAAATATAGCTGAAATGTAGTAATAATAATAACAATGTACACCCCTGAGCTATTGTTCACCCACATCATCCTGAAAAAAGTTAGAAGATATCTTTACAAAAACAACCCCACTTCATTTCATCCAATCAATCAACTCCTCAGCCTTAATGTCTTTTCGTGGTTTTTCATTTTCTCGTTCTGCAGGCCTTCATTTGATGCTACAGGGAAAAGTTGACCTCAACACTGCTCCTCATGCCAAGCCATTATACTGCCACGAGATCTCGAGTGTAGAACACATTGGAATCATGTCAGGAAGATGACCATCTATTTTCAGCCACAGTAGAAGAAAGGAGACAGGTTTATTTTTCATGGCACAGTATGATTTTCAAGTAAATTATTGTGCCTTTTCTATTGTTCTATTTTAGTCATCACTGTTCTTGACTTTTTTGTATTTAATGAATAAAAGCATTCTTTACTACTCCAATGTTTTATTGATTGGCTTTTTTTTT